CTGAATGCTAGTTGCATTGGGAGCGTGTTTTTGCACTCCTATCCTGCTTCTGGGCTTCCCCGAGGCATCCAGCCTGGATAGCTCAGTGTGGTGCTGAGAACACCAAGGTTGCAGGTTCGATCCCTGTAGGGGTCAGCTGCAAATGATTGGACTAGATGATCCTCCAACTCTATGATTCTATGGTGGGGAAGGAGCAGGGTGAATCCAATGGGGCCTTGGCCTAATCCAGCATGGTTCCTCTTGTGTTTGAGCATTCCTAATTCTGAGCCTCTATCAAGAACACTGGCTTTTTAGATATCTTTTACTTTTCTGGATGTGAAGAATGCCATATTGTTACCTACTCAGAAGTTCTTTGAGAGAAGAAAAGGCTAAGGAGTAAACCCTATGCAAATTCAGAGTAAAGTCCCTAAGCTGATTTAATGGCACCTTGTACACTTCCTTCCAGACACTCCTGCAGCCAAGCTGATGCCAAACATCTTGCTCTCCTTTCCTTTGAACCATATCAGCAAGGCTGGTCTTGTCATCTGGGCTGCCCAGGACCTGCAGACACACTGCCCAGGCTTGCACCTGGGAGAGGTCATTTTGGTGCTGCTAATGCAGCAAAGGCAACGCAGGAGGCAGGAGTTATGAGTTACTGGCCTCTGCAGCCACAGCATGCACTGTGATTCTCTAGCAGTTTGACTTCACCCCTGAAGGCAACTCCATTGTCTCCCAATACAGATGGATACCAACAACAAGGTCCTTATCTTGGGCTCAAGCCAAGAGACCCAATAGGTTAAACCTTGCTCACCCAAGGACAAGAAAGATAGGCTACCAGTAACTCACCACCTGTGTGTCAGCCACCAGAGGGCGACAGCACTACATTAACCCAGTGGCAAGAGGCATTCCAACTTTGACCCTTGTTCCATTCCAGCTCTTCTCAGCACTCCCCTAAGGTGGGCACCCAAACAGACAGCTACCAGGTGTCAAGAGGCTGTGGAGTCTTGTAAACTTTCTGGAACAGCCAATAACTAGTAACTTTTAAAGTGGCTGACCAGATGGTATCACATTTATGGATGATTGATCTGGAACAGGTCACAGTCACATTCTTGCAGTGGTTCCCCATGGGACTCCTGCCTTTCTATAACTAGGATCAGGCCCAGCCCCACCATTAAGGTAAATGCCTCAGGTGGCAGGTGTTGTGGGGGGGGCAGGCAGCACCAGCAGCTCCCTGGCTCACCTTCCTGTGGCTGTCCTTGACATTCTAGACACCTCCCAGATATTGGGATGACCACCACATGTTGCCAAGTGCCTATGCTTGTGGCATTGCATGTGGGGTGCAACATCTCCCCTCTCACATGGCCAAGTTAGTCTCAGGCGAAACTTAGGAAGATGCATTGAACAGAGTCAAACCTTTGGTACACCTGTTGTCTGCATGAAGTGGTCTTGTCCAGCCCTACCTGGAAATGCCAAGGGTGGGCCTTCTGAATGCAAGGCAGGTGCTCTGCCTGTGAGCAACTTTCCTAAGCAGTGGTTTCTGATTCTGCTTTGCCTGTTTGAACATCTCAACAACCTACAGCTTGCTCAAACCAGGGAGGGAGAGAATTGGAGTGCAGGAAACCTCCTTAAATTGAGTCAGACCATTGGTCCATCTCGCTCAGTACTGCCTATGCTCACTGGCAGCAACTCTGAGGTTTCAGGCAGGGGACATGTCCAGGCCTACCTGGAGATGCTGCAGGGAATTGAACTTGGGACCTTCTGCAGGCAAAGCAGGTGCTCTCCCACAGAGTCCCCATGTTTCCTGCACAGGACCAGAGTCTGTTCGCCTTCTGGGGGGCTGGGGATTCCACAGAGTCAAAGGCAGAGCCCATCCCACCTCCTGTCCTGCGTGGGCGACTCACCTCCAAGGCTGGGGGGGGGGCTCTGGGAGAAGGAGGAGCAGCCTCAGAGTTCCACAGCAGGAACTTGCTTGCCCCCTAACCACCCCACCCCTCGGTACAATATGAATCGCTTGCGCAACCATGGGACGCAGGGGGAATGGGGGAGAGTCATAGGCCGAGCCTAAAGCGGGCGGTGGGCGAGACTGTCATGAATTGTGCTCCGGGTGAGCTACAAAAAGGAATAGGATGCTCTGGGGGCAAGGTGGTATCTCGGGAGGGGGAGATGCTCAGACGACCCTCCTCTGCTAGAAACAAGCCCCTGCCCCCGCAAAGGCGAATCTCAAAAAGAGGGGGTCCCTTTTTGGGGGAGAGGGAGGTGGTCCCTCCTTGCATCATCGGGCAGCGGCGATGAAGGGGTTACCGGCCCAGCAGCCCCTTCTCCTCCTCGCCCCCCTCTCCGCCGTGCACGCGCGCGCCCCTCGCTCCCGCGTGCTCCGCCCGGGCGCGCTCTCGGGGCCGGCTGGGCGAAGAGGCGAAAACCAAAAGACGCCGACGACGAGGCGCCTGGCTAGGGGAGGCAGGCACGCGCGTGCGGGGCGGGGACTTCGGCGGCGCTGACGGCGGCCGTTGCAGGAGCCCTCCCGCGCCCGCCTAGCCGCCCCTCCTCCCGCGCCGCCGCCAAGCCACCACCGCTCGCCACGGCTCGGACTGGACTAGCCCGGCATGGCTGCCGCCGCGGGGTACCCCGCGCTACCGCCTCCTTCTCCTCGCCCCAGCCCAGCGCAGCAGGAGCGCGTCGGGTGAGTGGCCGAGCAAGGAGGGAGGGAGGGAGATGGACCGACCGACGGACGGACGGCAGGAGGACCGACAGGCAGAGCGAAGGCTTCCCCCCACCCCCTCACCCGCCCAGCGCCGCCGGGTGGGTTGCAGACAGCGGGAATCCCCCTTCGCAGTCCTTCCCTCCAGCTGCAGCGGCAGCTTCGAGCGCTCTCCCCGATTCCCGTCTCCATTTCAGGGGCGATGTCCGTCGGTCTGGGTGGAGGATGGGAGCAAGTGCGGGGGTGGCGGAGGAGCGAGGGGGGGTTGCTGCTGCTGTGACCGGTCTCTGTGGCGTTGCCATGGAGACGGTGCGGAGGAGGATGGCATAGAGGAGAGCCTCCCCCCCCCCATTTTTTTTTTAAGGCATAAGAGGTAGAAACACGGGTGGGGGCGGTTTTCCCCGGACAGGAGCCATCCCGTCCATCCAACTGTCGGTCCAGGCGCGCGTCTCCATCACCTCTCCGCGCACCCTCCCCACCCCCCCTCCCGAAATTCTATAACCGGCGATGGTTGTCGGTGTGTCTGTGCCTTGGGGGCGCGTGACCGGGCGCTCGTTCCCTCACTCCCCGCCCCTTGTTGCCGAGGAAGGGGTCTGGGTGGGTGGCCGGCATCGAGGTTTGTGCTTGCGGGGGAGGGGGAGCTTGGCGCGTGGGGTGGCCCCAATCCGCCATGATTATGGCTGGAGGGCCTGCCCACGAGGGTGCACAGCCTCCCCTGCGCGTCCCCGTCGCGCGCCCTCCCCCCCTTCTCCTTGGGGAGCCCCGACAGCAGGCCTCGTCACCCCTCCTGCTGCCGCGGCGGCCCAGGCCTGCTAGGACGCCCCTTTCCGGCCCTTTGGCCTCGATCCTGGGGTACGGAGGGCCTCGGGGCAAGCGGGCAGACTAATGGGGGTGGGAACCCGGGGCCCAAAGCTGGCAGACAGGGCCCTCAGGGAGCGGCGGCCTGCTCGGCCCTCCTCCCCCAAATCTCCGGAAGGTTGGGGAGTATGTAGTTGCCTTTCCCTATGGAGGCAAGAGTAGCATTGGTGATGTACCTACGGGAGTGTGGCCATTGGATTGTGCATCCGTACCAAGGTTGGTCCAGGCACTCCTTTGGCACGCAGAAGCCTCCCCCTGCAGTGGCGCGCAAGAGAGCCAGGGGCCCGTGAGCATGTGCAGAGAGTGCCTTTCTCCTATGCTCCCTCTTGGCTGCCTTTGGGAGCCTTCCCGGTCCCATCCTGGTTGAGGTACTTAGGTACCCCTGCCTCCGTTTGTGCGTGTGTTGGTGCAGACGAGCACACCCTCCCCTCGCCTGGTGGGTGAGGAGAGAAGGAGTGGCAGAAGGGAAGCCTGCAGTGTTGGGCTTCTGTAGAGAAAGAGGGACGGGCTCCAGCAGGGGCATCTCCTCCATGCAGCTGAACCATGTGAGCCCGACTCTGCCCATCATCCTTTGGCAGCCTGGTGTCCTCCTGTGCCACCCAGGGCATGCTGGCTGGGGCGGCTGCAAGCTGTAGTTCAGAACACCTGGAGGGCACCTGATTGGCCCTCCTTCCGGCCTAGTTCCCATGGTTACACAACTCCCTCCCTCTAGCAGAGGGCAGGAAACTTTGCAGCCTCTCCGACTGGCTGTTCCAGTCTCCTCCGGATTTCAGCGCTGGAGACCTGGAGGTTGACCCTTTCTCAGGAGTGAAACTGAAGGGAAGACCAGATAGGACCAGCTGTAGCAGTTACCCTTGGCTTCATGCTTGCCAGCACACTGTGGTGTGTGTTAAGATATGCTTCAGCGTGCTGTAGAATTAGGTCGGTGTCTCTCTCCTCCCAAGGGACTAGTAACTTCGATTTGACCCTCCACGTGTTTGTCAGAAAAGGGCTCATTCCGCTTGGGTAGAGCTTCTTGCTGAGACTCTCTTGAAGCAAGGATGGAGGAAGGCTGGCTGGACAAGGGGGCTCCTGCCACTCTGTCTTACAGCTGTGTGGGCATCACCAGTGAACTAAGACTTGCTGAAGCCTCCCAGCTGCCTCTCTGCCAGGATACTGGGGGGGGGAGGGGGGAGTGATGGCCACGAGTTTGGATGGACTTAAAAGAGTCTTAGACAAAATTCACAGGGGAGCAGAAGACTACTGGCCAGAATGGTCCTGTTCTGCTCCCACTGCACACCATTTAATTCCGCTTGCTGGGAAGCAAGAAAGAATGATTATTAGCTCTTAGGTCCTTTATGCAGGCTTCCCACTGGCGTTTCTAGTTGCAAGCTATGAGAATGGCACAGAATCATAGAACTGTAGAGCTAGAAGGGACCCTGTGGATCATCTAGTCCAACCCCCTGCAAATGCCGGAATATGCAGTTGTCCGATATGGGGATCGAATCTGCAACCTTGGTGTTATCAGCACCATGCTCTAACCAACTGAGTTATCCAAAAACTTAGGTCCAGGGTACCTCACAGATCATAGAATTGTAGAGTTCGATGGAGCCCTGAGGTAGGGGTGTGTGTGTGTGTGTGTGTACAAAATTTACACCCTTTTTTGAGGGTGTTCCAATTTTGCAATTCCTTTTCCTTGTTCCAAACAAAAATCCTTTTCATTTTTCTAATGCAACTGGAGGGAAGGGAAAGGGCTGCAATCAGGAAGATTGTGTGTGTCTCTACTCTTGACCATCAGCATAGCAGGCTCTGGGAAGGAGATTAAAGAGAATCTCCGGCTGCAGCCTGACTCCCTGCTCCATGGAAGTGAACTTATGTCTAGTTCACATGTATGGATGAAAGGGACACGGTTGCCCTCATGCACATGGCTTTGCTGATGGCAGTGGGTATTGCAGTCACCCCAGAAGATTTCTGCCATAAACCCCCTCCCCCGTGGTTCCTGCTATAATAAGCTGCCTCCTGTACTGGATCAGGCCAGTCGCAATGTTTGCATTGTGCTGGTGTTGTTCAGAAGCACAGATGATCTGCTGAGAACTGGATGTGGTTCAAGGCTTGGTAGTCCAAATCCTTGAGCAGTAACCGCATGTGCTAAGCCTAGGGCTTCATAGCCCTCGTCCAAGGATCTGTCCATGGAGGTAAGTGGCCAGACTCGCACAGAGGTTACTGTGAGAGTCAAAAGGCAACTGGCCAGTGGAAAAGGGTCTGAATCAGGCCCCGGCAAACAGTGGTTAATCTTGGGTTGGAGACTGCCTGAACTCAAGCCATGCTCTCAGGATAAGCCTATAAATCATAGAATCCTAGAATTGTAGAGTTGGAAGGGACTACAGTGGACGCTCGGGTTGTGAACGTGATCCACGCAACCCGCATCGCCCCATCTGCGCACGCACGATTAGGCACTTCTGTGCATGCGTAAAGCACAATTTAGTGTTTTTGCGCATGTGCAAGCGCCGAAACCCGGAAGTAATCCGTTCTGGTACTTCTGGGTTTGGCGTGGCGCGCAACCCGAAAACGCACAAGAAGCATCTGTTACCCGAGGTATGACTGTACAGTGGACACTCGGGTTGCGAACGTGGTCCGTGCGGGATGCACGTTCGCAACCCCCCAGCGGCATGTCTGTGCACGCACGGGTTGCGATTTGGTCTTCTGTGCATGTGCGACTGCCGAAACCCGGAAATAACCCGTTCCGGTACTTCCGGGTTTCGGCAGTCCGCCACCCAAAAAAAACGCAACCTGAAGCGTCTGTAACCCGAGGTATGACTGTACAAGCATCCTCTAGTCCAAGGGTGTCCAACTTCCGAGAGTCTGCGATCTACTGACAGTATTAAAAAACTGGCAGTGATCTACCCATTGTCAGAGCTGTTGAGCTTTTTTTAGGAAACCAGAGTTGTTGACACCCCCTGATCGACCAGTAGATTGCGATCCACCTATTGGACAGCCCTGCTCTAGTACAACCCATGAACACACGACCCTGACCCTCCTCCCACTGCAGGAGGTTGGACTAGACCAGGGGTCGGCAAACTAAGGTCCGCGGGCCGGATCAGGCCCAATTGCCTTCAGGATCTGGCCCACGGACTGTCCGTGGATCAGCGTGGGGATTCTGCTTGTTTGGGATGCGGCACCCCGCACCATTCCATTCCCCCCATGGCAGCGCCTCCTCCCTCGCTCCTCCTGGCTTCTCCCTGCCCTGCCTAGAGGAGGAAGGAGGCTGGGCTGAGCTGGCTGAGTGCCATTTTAAGGAGCCCCTCTCTGGAGCCAGCCCTTTCGCGCCGCTCATCGTCCCTCCGCCACCACCCTGGTGCTCCTGTGGCCAGAGAGCAGAGCAGACAAGCTCGCTCTGCTTACCCACGAGAAGCAACCGCGGTGGTGGTGGTGGTGGCAGCCCCTGGGAAAGTTAGTGCAGCAGTTGGGGGTGCGGAGGAGTACTTGCCCCCCTTGCTTCTTCTTCCAGTCCCCCGCCATGCCGCTTCTTCTGCCCACCACAAGGTCTGAGGGACAGTGGACCAGCCCGCAGCTAAAAAAATTTGCTGACCCCTGGACTAGATCCTCAGGGCAGGGGTGGAGGAAGGGGTGTGTGCTGGGTGCGGGCCACCCCAGGTGTCACCACTTAGGGGGGTGACAAAATGCTGGGCAGCACTCACCACGGGGCCTGTAGCGCGTCCGAACCACGCGTCTCTCCTGGGAGAGATGCGGTGGCTTGGGCGTGTGCAGGCTCTGTGCTGCCCAAATGGTCCGCCTGCTGCCTCCCTCCAGCTGTAGGGCGGCTGAGACTCCAGAGGCCCCGCAGTGCGCCCCACCCCTATGGGTGGCTCACCCCACCCAGTGCCAGATTTATGTATAAGCTAAACAAGCTATAGCTTAGGGTCCCACTCTCCTGGGGCCCCCCAAAAAATTAAAAAGAATTTCACTATTAATATACTTCTTAATTGTATTTCAGTTCAACAATTACTTTGATAAAACACATATTTTGTTATGTGCAAATGGCTTTAGATACCAATTAGGTCCATCAATGACCATATAGCATATATTCAACACAAAAAAGCAATAAGGACAGCTGGACATATAAAGGGCCTCATTACCTTCAGTAGCTTAGGGCCTCATCAGACCTAAATCCGGCCCTGCCCCCACCCCTATGGGCAGCTCGCCCCACCCCTGGGCGCCCCACCCCAGGCACCCAAGTGGCTTCCTCCACCATGGCTTCAGGGTCCCTTCCCCCTCTACAATTCCAAGATTCTATTCTCTACCGACTGAGCTATACAGTGGTACCTCAGGTTACATACGCTTCAGGTTACATACGCTTCAGGTTACAGACTCCGCTAATCCAGAAATAGTACCTCGGGTTAAGAACTTTGCTTCAGGATGAGAACAAAAATCATGCTCCAACGGCGCAGCAGCAGCAGGAGCAGGAGGCCCCATTAGCTAAAGTGGTGCTTCAGGTTAAGAACAGTTTCAGGTTAAGAACGGACCTCCGGAACGAATTAAGTACTTAACCTGAGGTACCACTGTATATAGGAAGTTGCCTTATTCTGAGTCAGACCATCGGTCCACCTACCCCAGTATTGTCAACACTGACCGGCAGCGACTCTCTGGCGTTTCACGCGGAAGACATTCCCAGCCCTACCTGGAGATGCGACATTCTGCATGCAGAGTGGGTGCTCTGCCTCTGAGCCACAGGCAACGAAGGATCCTCCCTGGCAGAGAACCTTTTGGAAGAAGTGTGGAAAGAGTTCGTCCTCTCCCTTTCTCATTGAAGCTGTGGGAAAGCAACAAATGACTACTATAGTGGGGCAGGTTGGTTAGCCTTTTTTATTGGCCAGTGACTTTTGTAGTCTTACTTGCTTAACTGGAATGTCCTGTTTTCTCTCACTTCCTCCAAAAAAGGATAAATTGGCAGCAGTAGGAATACCACCACGAAAAGGACCTGAGAGCAGATTCTGGGGTTAAAACAAAACAAACCCAAAGTTTATTTGTATGTGTTTGTGTGCATCTTTATTGACATTCCCTGCCAGGTATGGTTTTAGGAGGTGCTGCCTCCATTTACCATGGGTCCTGTGGTCCCAAAATCTTTGCTCTTATTTATTAAAGGTAAAGGGACCCCTGACCATTAGGTTCAGTTGCGGACGACTCTGGGGTTGCGGCGCTCATCTCTCTTTATTGGCCAAAGCAGCTGGCGTACAGCTTCCGGGTCATGTGGCCAGCATGACTAAGCCACTTCTGGCGAACCAGAGCAGTGCACGGAAATACCGTTTACCTTCCCGCTGGAGCGGTACTGCTTTATCTACTTGCACTTTGACGTGCTTTCGAACTGCTAGGTTGGCAGGAGCAAGGACTGAGCAACGGGAGCTCACCCGGTCGCGGGGATTCGAACCGTCGTCTTTCTGATTGGCAAGTCCTCGGCTCTGTGGTTTAGACCCCAGCACCACCCGCATTATTTATAACATGTCTATAATAGCTCAAGGGAGCCTATATGATTCACCCAGCCCCCTTTCCTCCTCACAACGATGCAATAAGGAAGGTTAGGCTGAGTGAGACTAGCTGACCCAAGGTAACCTGGGTCCGTCTGGGGATTTGGTCATGGCTCTGCTCAGTCTAAGGCTTAAGTTGTCTAGCTCAGGAGATGATGGTGGAGTGTGCCTTTGTGGGTGAAGTCAAACTGTTGGAGAGTCACAGCGCCTGCTGCGGAGAGACATGTTTTGTTTCAGGTGGGGAAGATGAAGGCGTCCTCTGCGCTCCTCCTATTAGTTCTTCCTCAGTCTGACTCAGTCTATATATGTTCAGAGGCAGTCGGAGTGTTGAAGTCCTCTTCCCTACCATTCTCCCTATTGGCCTGAGGGCCGCGTTTCCTTCGCCTCAACCTTCCAGGGGCCACATGCCAGCGGTGGGCAGGGCCAGAGGCAAAAGCGGGTAGAGCATTGTGTGCAGTAGGCAAGTTTCTACACACACCGCCCCCCCCTCTCTCACACACACACACACACAATCTCAGAAACTCTGGTTTATAATTCAATCGCTAAACGGCACCTTAAACCTCGGCCACACAATGGAATGTCTAGGCACCTTCCCCCCCTGGAGTTTATTATTATGATAAATTTCATTTCTATAGTGCTTTATATTTTAAAGAGCAGATCTCAAAGTGGTTTGCAACACATTAAAGCATCAAATTAAACAAGTCGGAACAAAATAAATTCAAGCTTCAAGGAAAATATTTCAGATCCTTCTCTAAGTGACATTTTGCTTCCCCCAGTCGCCAGCCTGGCATCCAGAGAGCTCCACATGGTCACAAGTGGACCCATGTCAGTCGCAAAATCACCCGGCACCTGGCTGGTTCCTGGCAATGCACACACCTATCTTCCATCCAGGCAACTAAGCGGTATGAACAGACTTCAAGGGCACATCTCTGGTCAGGGGAAAGCTCTCAAGAATCATACAGAACAGGCCCAGGGAGGAATGGGGTCTGTGGACAAGTGGGAGGCGCACCTTTGAGAAGGCCCCAAGGACCTGATAGAGAGCCCTTTGGCCCCTGGGCCAGAGATTCCCTCCCATACATTGTTCTCTGCTGTCCGCAGCAGGTGATACCCCACATGACTTCAAAGAGCCTTCTTCTCCTGAGTGTGTTTGTTGTATCATTTGAAGTTTCTCCTCCCAGCTGCAGTAGCAGGTTTGGAACCTTAGTAGAGCTGTAGGAAGGAGTCTGAATTTGGGGCCAGGTTATCTGGGTGGACGGGAGCTGCAGCAGGAGGATGTGCATGGTGCCAGACCAATTCCAACAGAAAAGCTTATTCTCTGCACCACTCTCTTGCAATCAGAGCAATATCCCCCTTTTTTTAGGACAACCGCAGCATCACAAAATAGTGTGCCAACCTAGCCTGTTCCTCAGGCTAGATGGTAAACGGATCAACCGCAGGAGGACAACTCTGGCCCATAAGGAAGATTCCAAAGTTCAGGGTTAGGGCAACACCTTAGGCCAACCAAGCTGCCACCAAAATGTCTTGGAATATGCAGCCTGTGGCTTCTTTGGTCAGAGAAGGAAAGGCCCACCTTGGTCGGATAAACAAGCAGCACTCTCTGTGGATGTCATCTTATGGTGAGTGAGACTCTTGGTCCAGGATGGTCTATGCTGACAGGCAGGGTTTCAGGCGGACAGGAAGGGGAGGAGGAAGCATTTCCAGAAGGTCCTGGGCTCTATTCCTGGCATCTGCAGGTAGGGCTTGGAGAGACAGGAACCTGCCTTGTGTTGAATCAGACAATTGATCTGCCTAGCTCTGTATTGTCTACACTGACTGCCAGCCGCTCTCCAGCGTTCCAAGCGGGGTTGTCTCCCGGCTCTACCTGGAGATGTCATTGCAGATCGAACCAGGGACCTTCTGCATGCAAAGTAGGTGCTCTGCCACTGAGCCCCTCCCCTTTAGGAGCCGCAAGCTCTTGTCATATATTGACCGATCCTGGTGGCTGCTCAGGGCCCTGCCCAGGATGCACCCAAAGAGTCTTCAGCTAAAGATTGTAGCTTATTTCTTTGCCTCAGAGAAGCAAGGGCTTTGCAGGTGTGATGTAGAGGTTGCTTTAAGGTGCTCCTCATGGTCACAGTTGCCACATGCAGAGATGGTTGTGCACCACTGCAAATGGTCCAAAAAGTGGGGATTATTGTGGTGATGTGCTATTGTAAAGGTGTTTTCTCAGGGATGGTCCATTGCTCAGTGGTGGAGGACATGCCTCTCCAATTAAAGCAGACCTGAAAGTGCCTCTTTTTTGCTTGAGACTTTGCTGGGTGGGGCAGGGGTGTGTGGTTTCTGCTGGCCGGAGTGTCCAGTAGCAAGCTAGCTGGGCCAGTGGTTTCACTCATGCACTCAGATTACAGAGTCTGGGTAATAAGCCCAGACTAACAGCCACCACAGGAGAACTGATGTAACTGCAGTGGCTGAGAGCATTCCTTCCCTCGTTCATTCCTTCATTCAGAGCATTCAGCTGGAAAAGCTCACACAGTGGCTTGCAAAGCAGTAAAATGACGGAGCACGCCATCAGGCTTGCAGTGTAAAAAAGACTTGACACAAAAGGAAAAACGGGATGAGGAGAGAAGAGGAAAGTGAGCTAAAATCAGGCACCACATGTTTGATGTTACAGGGTTCTTATAATGACTTGCTCAGATGGACAGTCTATTCACAGTTCAAAAAAACGGTTGTTCCTCTTTATTTTATACCCCACTTTTTACACAAGATTTCTTCTCTAAACAGTTTACAATTAGGATACATCCTATTAGGAATTTGTGGAGGTATACAAATGAGTTGACAATTTTTAGATCCTAACTTTAGCAAAAAAAAAAAAGTTTATCTATCCCCACCTTGCTGTCCTCCAGATGTCTTTTGGAATAAGCACTCTTGATCAGTACCAGCAATATTGTCCAAAACATCTGGAGGGTCCCAGATTTTGGGAGGCAAAGTACTCTCCTCTTAGCTCTGCCCTCCAGTCCACAATGTAGGGATGCTGCTGCTTGCCTACCCTATGTGGTTGTTGTAAAGATTACTGAGAGCAACCGTTGTTGGATAGCTCAGTCAGTAGAACATAATCTCAGTGTTGTGGGTTTGAGCCCCACATTGGGCAAAAGGATTCCTGCATTGCAGGGGGATGGACTTGATGACCCTTGTGGTGCCTTCCAACTCTAGGATTCATTGTGTGTGAAACATGCAGAAAAGTGCCACTGAAACGCAGAGTATGTTTGCTGCCACCTAAACCAGCCTCTGCCTCCAGGTGTGGAAAGCCTTTGGCTGAACTACAACTCCCATCAGCCTCAGCAAGCATGGCCTGTGGCCAGGGATGGGTGATGGGTGTTGCAGTTCAACAGTTCAACCTCGTGGGCCATAGGGTCCCCACACCTGATCTGTACAGGTGGCTGCCCCAGGTGGGCTGGCTGCTTGCTGGGCAGAGAGAGAGGTGGAAAGGGACTTAGATGTACTCAGTGACCAGCTTGTGTTCTGCACGGGGATGATTCGCTTGGCACCTTGTGAAAAGAAATACCGTGTTCGCGTACTAATCCGTTGACTCATGCATTTTGCATTAGCTCTCCCTTCTCTCATGCTTGACTCTGACACCAGGGAGCCTTGGCAGGAGTTGGGATTTCATGGCCAAGAGTGGCACAGAGGCTGGAAGGAAAGAGGCTAGTGAGCGATGGAAGCCACCAGGCAGATTGGCCACTGGGCAGCATTATCTGCAGCTTCGCAGATGTAAAGCCAGAAACCTCCCCCCCTTTTTTTTTTTGCTGGAGGGAGAGATTTAAGCCGAGTTCCCCCAAGAATACAGATTCTGTGCCAGTTGCCCGACTTCCTTTGGCATATCAGGACACTGAGTGCTATCCACATGTTGGTGTGCTAAGCTGATGCTTATCATCCGCTGGCTGATGGCTCAAGGCTGGTCCAGACACGTCTCCCTGCTTCTCTTAATGAGTCTCAGCCGAAAGTGTGAACTGCTTCCTATTAAAGTGCGATGTGGGCTTGGAATAAGGCGTGTCTGGACTCAGACTCTACACAGAAAGACTCTGGAATTTAGGAGCCTGACTTCTCCTGAGTCAGACCATTGGCTCAACACTGCCTACACTGACTGGCAGCGGCTCTCCAGGGTTTTAGGCAGGAGACATTCCCAACTCTACCCGGAGGTGCCAGGGATTGGACCTCAGACATGAAACACGCCAAGCAGATGCTCTGCCACTGAGCACCTTCCCTCAGCAGTGGTTTCTGGTTCTACTTTGGAGGCAGAGAATGGTTTTAACCTTGCCTAACAGCTCAACAAACTATAGTTTGTTCAAACATGGGAGGAAGAGAATGGGAAGCTGCCTTATACTGCTTCTGGCCATTGGTCTATCTATCTCTGTACTGTTTACACTGGCTGGCAGCAGCTCTCAAGTCTTTCCTAGCCCTACCTGGAGATGCTGGAGATGGAGCTTAGGACCTTCGGCAGGCAAAGCAGGTGTCCTGGCTCTGGCCCAAGGCCCTTTTATCCAGGGGTCAGCAAACTTTTTCAGCAGAGGGCTGGTCCACTGTCCCTCAGACCTTGTGGGGGGCCAGATTATATTTTGAAGGGAAAAAATGATGCAAGAGCACCACAAGCCCCAGTGGCTGCTTACCTGTGTCTTGTGAGCAGCAGGGGCTGGCAGTGGCGGCAGGACGATGAGCGGTGCACGAAAGGGCTCCAGAGAGGGGCTGCTTAAAATGGCGGCCGCTGGAGCGCTGCTGCTGGCACCAACAAAGCCCAGCCCCCTTCCTCCTCTAGGCAGGGCGGAGAGAAGCCAGGAGGAGGGAGGGAGGAGGCGCCGCCGTGTGAGGGAGGGGGAAAGAGTTTTGGGCAGGGGGCTTTTCCAGCTCTATCAGGAGATGCCATCACAGATTGAGCTGAGCCTGGGACCTTCTCGGTGTGGAGCAGGTGCTCTGCCACTGAGCTATGGCCCGTCACCTAAAAAGAAAGTAAGATTCTAGTCCTCATGGTTCTAAATGAAGAGCTGATTCAATTGGGAGCATGGGAATATACCCATTGGTCCATCTAGCTCTGCATTGCCTATGCAAGTAGCCTTCAACCTTCTTGAGCCCAGGACATGCATGGGGGGTGGTATTTCTCTACCATATATTTACATGGTGAAAATGCTGCTGCTGCTGCTGCGACCCACCTCGGACCAAGCCGTGCCTACTACCCTCCAGTTGTAGACTAGTGAGTGATCTCTGCTGACTGACAGCAGCTCTTGGGGCTTTCAGGCCAAGGGGACATTCCTGACCCTAAATGGAGATGTCATCGGGGGTTGAACCTGGGACCTTCTGAATGTGAGGTGTGTTTTTCTGCAGCCTCCACTAAAACAGACCTGCACTCAGCCAGTTCTTTCTCTCCCCAGTAGTAGGTTAGCCAAGGCGTGCTTGTGGTTCAGCGGAAGGGGCACCACAGGTGGCAGAAAGGCTGGGCCTCCAGTGAGTATGCAGGCCAGCACCACTCAGGAAAGCCTGATTCAGCCACCTCCACCACCCTCCCTCCAGCCAACCTGGGCTTTGTTCAAGGGTGCACAAGTGTGAAATTCAATTTGTAGGCAACCTGTGGCTAGTGAAGAGCAGGCCTCTTTCCCTGGGCTTTTACACCAAGTCTGGGCAGGTTGCTGGCTGCATGCTAAATGCAGCCTCGCTGCCTGCCTCCCCCGGGGAGCCTTACGTCATGCTGGAGGAGCAGCAGCTGCCGCAGGAACCTCTGGGAAGCCTTTGGGGGGAGGTGAAGGGGAAGCTTGCTGCTGCTGTGGGTCTTTCCTTCCGCTAAGACGGTCAGGATCCCTTCATGCCTCTTTGCACCACGAGTGTCCTGCTGAGGCTGGGGGTTCCCTGCCACTTCCCCAATGGCTGCAGTGACTAATTTGAACATGAGGATGAAGCTCTTGATTTGCTTTTACCATCCCCACATCTGACCACGTTAGTCTCCCACATCTGAGAAGGTGGAGTGGTCCTCTCTGTCCACCAGGGCTCGAAAGTTGCTGTTCTTACTTTCCGTGGCTCCTCTCCTAATCACATATAGGCCATTTAGCTTTTATTGTTCTTTATCTGTTGGTGAGATCTTTGGGGATCTCTCGGGAGCAAAGGAAGCTACCTGACAGTGAACCAGACCCATTGCTCCATCAAGCTTGGCGCTGTTTGCACTGACTGGCAGTTGCTCTCCAGGGTTTCAGAGTCTCCCAGGCCAACCTGCAGATGCCATTGGGGATTGAACCTGGAACATTCTGCATGCAAAGCAGATGTTCTGTCACAGAGCTAAGACCGTTCCTCTAGGCAAATGTCTTTGACATTGGAAGCTGCCTTACACTAAGTCAGACCATGGCTCCACCTCACCCAATATTGTCTACATTGGTTGGCAGTGGCTCCCCAGGGCTTCGTGTCTTTTCTGTTCATACCTGGAAATGTCACTGGGGATTAGACCTGAGGTCTACTGTGTGCAATGTATAGCTCCTCTTATTTTGTTAGTCTTCACCTTGCATTGCAAAGTGTTCCTAATGAAATAAAGCAGTTGCTTTGCTTTCCTAACTTGACCAGGGGCTGAATAGGTGACAGAGAATATCCAGGTAGGTCTCCCATGCTTCTATTCTCTTCTGTCTTCTGTTTTCTGCTGAGACAGGACTGGGTGGCCCTGAAGGGACCCCTCCTGCCCATTGCTGTGTGAGGAAGGAGGGTGAACTTTCTTATCACTGCTCTCAAACTTGCAGAACGTGTCTCTGGCCTTTGCCACTTCAGCCTGCAAGCAGAGCCTCACACCATAACCTTAATGTCTTCCTTAAACAAAGAAAGCCCATGCAGATAACAGAAGTAGCATGTTGGGGGAAAGGCTGTATATGGGTCCCTTCCTGACACCTAATTCTGCAGTGGGTGTTCTTTTCTTGTTCTGTATGGAGGAGCAATCCATCATGTGGGTCTAAAGTGATACAGGCTGCTTGTGGCAAATTCAGAAGTGAAGGCCCCCTTCATGGTAGCCACAGCCATGCCCCCTTCTAAGATTATACAGCAACCCAAGATTATGCAATATTCTTATAATTATACAATGATAATAATTAGGGGTGCATTGCAGTGATCAGGGCAGATTTTTCCGCACTACCTTTCTGCTAGAGCTAGTGCACAGCAATGGGCAAATGGTTTGAAGTGCTCGAGTGTTTTCTTTCAGAGTGCCTTAACTTGTGTTTTCCTTGAAGTTCCATCATGAGCAACAGCACTTGCACACCACACTCTTTGAAACTGAAGTGTTCCTCAGCTTTGGAGCACACAGAATGATTCTTGCTCAGGGCTCTTGCCACATGCCTCCCCTGGAATGACCCCGGGAGCCAGTCCTCAGTGTCTGACTTGCCTCCTCTCACTCTGGGTGTGAAGGCTTCTTTGCAGCAGCTATAAAGGCTCCCCTTTCATGCTGATTAGACAGCTGTAGGGGGCTGGAGATGGTGCAGAAATAGGAACAGATCCACGACTCCCCAAGACCCTGGGCCACTTCACCTCTGTCTGTGAGAAGGGGTCAAGGCCAGGTTTGCTTGTGCCTTGGAGCAGAGCCAGTGTTCAGCATGTCCTTAGGCGTCGGTTGATAGTCGTGGGCCATTCAAGTAAGATTCCCTCATGGTTTGACTTGCTAAGATGGGCCTTGCTTTACACTGAAGGTCTAACCCAAGCAGCATTTACTTTTTTCATGAGATTTATATCTTTTTGATTGTAATAAAATACCCAACAGGTAGGGAGAGACCCTCCCTGTAAGATTTTCAGGGATGACCCCAAAGGTTGAGACTTGGGATGGGGTACCTATTGGGCTTCTCCAAATGCTTTTGGACTTCAAATCCCATAGGTCCTTGCAGCCGGCATGGCCAGTGATTGGCGATGATGGCACATGGGAGTTGTAGTCCAGCATCTAGGGAGCCAGAGTTTCCCCACCCCTGGCCTTAACCTTTGGGGTAAGTCCTGAAAATCTTACAGAGAGGGTTGCTGAGGTTCTTCCCTGTCTTTCTGCAGCAGCGAGTGTTTGGGCTTACTTATCTAAGTAATCTGTAGTATCTTGAGGGCTGGACTCTTGGTTGAAAATCTGAGTTCCAGGGAGTCCTGCATATTTTTAGTATCCCTGCTGTCAGCTTCCTCATTCTGTTGGGAGAAGGACCTTCTGCTTCACTTGAGTATTCCTGGGTAAATATTTAGATAGGCAGTCAGGGGTTTTAAAGCAGAGGGTCATCTTGGCCCAAAGAGAGTGGTCAGTTCTGGGAAAAACTGTTTCCTACCTTGCCCTTTGACCGTGTGTGAGAGAGAGAGAGAAAGAGAAAGAGAGAGAGAATTTCCCACATTTAGTAGAACAGACTGTAACGCTTTGGACTGCAAGTTAATAGCTTAAAAAAACCCACTCCTGTTTGCTAAAAACTCTGCTCAATGAGAAAACCTTGATGTTGTTGCCACTCTAGTTGCTACTATGTCCCATTCCTCACCCTAATTTGCTGACCCAGCAGAACTTAGTGTTTTATGCATTGATTCGATTGCTTAAATTTTGACACTTGTCCTTCTTACAAAAAATAATAATGCATGGGTTGTACCCAGCAAATTCCTACTCAAAGTAGAACACACACCAAAGTAGATGCGCACCCCCCCCCAGTGTTTTTCATAGAATCTTAGAATTGTAGAGTTGGAAGGGACCACAAGGGGTCATCTAGTCCAACCCCCTACAGTGCAGGAATCCTATGTGCAAGGTGGGGCTCAAACCCACAACCCTGAGATTAAGAGCCTCATGCTCTACCAACCAAGCTGTTAGGTGACTAGCAGATTAAATAAATAGCAATTTCTGAGGGTTGGAAATTCCTGGTCGCTGGGGATGCCAGCAGCCCAAGAGAGAAGGGGTAGCTGCTGCTGCTGCTGCTGCTCAGCCCAGGGTTCTTCCTGGCAGGGCTGGCACTGTGGCCCACGAGCAGCTGCTCCATATGTAGCAGGCGCCAAGGCTTTTGGAGACAAAGGTAGGATTCTCTGCCATCCTGCTACAGAGAACTGTGGAAGACCAGAGGGGATGCTGCTCTGCTGAAGCCAGGACGGGGTTTTGTGTTTGCTTGTTTTTAATCCGTGGGGAAGTGGGGATAGAGGCAAGGGCTTAGTCTGGTAAGGGATCCAAGGCTGAAGGGATCCAGGAAGGGATTCTGGCAGAAAGGGGTTCCCGTGTCGGCCTCCTGGATAAGCAGTCTGTAAGAAGCCTCTGGATCATTTGAGCCTGGCATCAACGCCAGAACTGGCACCAGAATTCAGGATGCCAGAAAGGTTGCTGGCATTTTCTGGGGGGCAGAGCCTCACTCTTCCATATTACCCAGACTCCTTTCGAGAGCAATTCTTCTTGAGACAAGCGGAAGCAGAAGGAGGACTGGTTTCTTTTATGGGGAGGCTCACAGCTCTGCAACAGAAGAGGAGGGCTGGGGGTAACCCAAGAAGTTTTAGTCAGGAAAGCCTTTTAGGATTTTTATTGTGGCAGGCTGACTTGTTTTGTTGTTGCTTTTTTCGTTGTAATCATTTTTAGCTGTTTTGCAAGCTGCCTTGTTGTGAAACTACCTCCCCCCTCCTTAAAAGCAGAATATAAATATGTAAAAACAAGCGATAAATGGGGACAAAAAATTCTGGAGCTGTCAGATACTACCATCTTAGGATAACCCTTGAAGATTAAAGTGTCTGACTCTTGATTGTATGAACAGCCCCCGCCCCATTGGACACAGGCAGTATTACTTGGCCATCAGTAAGCTACCGGTAACTGTTCCCAGAGGGCTGTGGGATTTGGGGTGTGTGGTTTTGTTTGTTTGTTTGTTTGTTTGTTTGTTTGTTTGTTTGTTTTTGGTCATAACTGCTTGTTTGTCATTGTTACCATAGCTGGTTTTCTGACCCAGGCATTAGACACTGTGTGCAGCTCATGTATTTAAAGCATGTGGCTTCCCCCAGATAATACTGGGAACTGTAGTTTAACCCCCCCCCCAATGGAACTACAATTTCCAGCATGCTCAACAAACTACAGCCCTCAAGGTTCTTTGGAAGAAGCCATGTGCTTAAAGGTAGGATGTGTGCCACAGTTAAAACAGTGTATTTGTTGTGTAGGTGGGCAGTCTTAAAACAAAGACCAAACATGCTTTCTGTGGGACTGCAGTTTCAGCCATGTCCCTTCAGGGCAATTCCTTGCCTACTGCCTTCACAAAGGCTGAGATCCAGTGCTTCTAGGGTGCTCTCCAATGGCTGTGAAGAAATGGTGGCCATCTTAACTGAGGGCACCAAATGGCTGCTTTGCTCAGCAACAGAGAAGTGGTAGGCTGGGGCTTGTGTCTTGAGGTTAAGCAGGGAGTCTGCTTAAGCAAGGAAATTAAGGTGGACACTGATAATTTGTGCCTTTCTTTAGAGCTTGGTGCCTCTTCACCAGGAGCTACTCCTCCAGCTGAGATTAGGGACAGGAGCGGGTTTTTTGAGGTGGTAACACCTTGGGCTACATGCAGCCACAATATAAATAAATGGACTGCTATCCTGATGGAAAGATGTGCAAAGCTATTCATTAGTTTGGAAAAGCCTTTGGCTTTCTGAAATACCTAAGGAATGACAGCATTGAAAAAGGAACATCTTTCGGGGGGGCGGTTGTAGCTGCTCTTAAAAGGCATGCATCAGAAGGCCGGACTAAACAGCTCCTTCTTACAATGGGGGCGACAGTTTTCAGCCTCCCCACTCCCAAAGTAATGATTGCGATATACCAGACAATGGCACATTATTGGGGCTTTCACAGACTCTGTGGTTTCTCCCTTCCCAGCAGACTGCACTGCTGTCCCTAATCCACCTAGATGTCCCATTGTCAGGAAACCATCTCCCCCTCTCTCCTGAGCACTCATGACTGCTAAATGTAGTTGCCGGGAAAGAACCTTTTGCCCTGGGGACTGGCTGCCTTGTCACCTATTGGACAGCACTCATGGCGTCATTGTGGGCAGATACGCCACAAGTCCATTCCCCTGCCCTTGCGCCATTTTGAGCAGCCCATCTGTTTGCCAGCTGCTGCTGCTGCTGCTGCTGCTGGAACCCGCACTTGCTACCGTATTCACGGGTGGGAGGTGGGAAATAGCATTGCCCTCACTTTGCAGGGTGACACCAGGGCTGCATGCCAACCATGTGTTTAAAGCATGTCCCTCCAGAGACTCCTAGGAACTGTAGCTTATCCCGCATAGAGCTATAGTTCTCAGCTCCCTTAGCCAGCTACAGTCCCCAGGATACTTGGGGGTGGGAGTACATGTTTTAAATGTATGGGGTGTGTGCAGCCAAGATTCCCCCTCTTCCACTGTGACTGGAAGAAGGTGGCTGTGTTCCTGCAGGCAGCACTCACAGAAGAGCAAGTGGGAGACAGGCAGGAGCAATGAGTTGCAAACCTGACATGCCATTTTGCTGCACCAGACTCCTCTGTAACAGGTTGGCTTGTGGAGATGTCACCTTGTACCGTATTGGCCTGAATATAAGCCTCACTTTTTGCCAAATTTCGACCTTGAAAAGTTATAGTGTGGCTTATATTAGCGATCTTACAGTGTGCAGCCAGGAGCACGGGGCAAACAGTGCCAGGAGCATGGCAAAGCGGTGCCTGCCCTGTATGTAGTCCCCCATCCTCTCCCCCAAGGCCAGGGAGGGGGAGAGGGAGGAAGGGGAAAGACCGCCAACAACGCAGCTCACCACCACCACTACCACGACCACCTAGTATGCAGCCAGAAGCAGCAAGGAAGTGACTGGCTTATATTTGGGTATTTTTTTCTTTTTCTTTTTCTCTCCCCCCCCCCCCCAGTTTTAAAGGCACAGCTTATATTCGAGCGTGGCTTATATTTGTGCCAATATGGTAACAATAGTTTTGGGGCTCAGTGTCGCAAACTTCCTAGGAGACGGAACCATAGCTCTGGGGGCAGCACACCCAATGGAAGCTGTTCCATTAGGACAAACGGAGCACTGCCTCACCAACCTCCCTCTTGATTCCATCAAGCTCACTTGCTTTCTTCCTGCCCACTTCCTCCTCCTTGGTCCCAGTGTTGCCCTTTCAGAACTCAGCAGGGAGGAGCACATTTGGCTCTGGCTGCCTTTGTCTCCAGCTCCCCCTACAGCTGGCCTCCCTGCTTTCCCCCAGTCCCTATGGTCACCAGCCACCACTGAGATCACCTGCTTTGGGTGCAGAAGGCCCCAGGTTCAACCCCCTGCACCTCCAGGCAGCCGGCACCAGGGAAGACCTTTCTTCTTTGCCTGAGGTCCTGAGGTCCTTGAGAACAGACAGTCCTGGGCTAGTGGGATGAATAGTTCAGCCTAGTATTAGGCAGATTTCCTTTGTTCCCAGTTCTTGCCCTGTCTTACTGGGGTTTCCTGCTGGGCAGTTTCCTAGGCAGTGGTTCTCAAAGGGTGTAGCAGGAGAGGATGGCAAACGTGGCAGGAAGATTCTAGGACAATCAAATAAACGTTTAAACATTTCAGTGTAGTATAGTATGAAAATATTTTTATTTTCAGAATATGGATAGAGATTAATTTTCCCCCAAAATGAGAGCAGTCACCATTCAGAGTGCTGGAGAATGGCATTGTCTATTCTTCTACAGTTCTCCACAACATTTTGTTGCGAACATGTGAATGATCAGAAAAGAGAAAGGCTCCTTTGTGTTGATGAGGAGACGAGAGCTTGACTGGACTGTCTCAAATTAGACCTCGTATAAATGAGATCACCCGGCAAAAGCAAGTTCACACCTCTCACTGAGTTTGTCTACATACTTAAAGTACATACGTAAGAGGCTCATTTATAGTTATATTTTGGGAGCAGTTCATGTTCTTAGGTAACCTGCTTTGTTTTTATACTTTCTGATGCTCTGTGATCATATAATAAAGTAGTTGTGTTCTGTGTTGTATAAATTGAGCCCTGATCGGAGTTGCTCCTTTTTTGTTTTTCCAATGTATTTCTTACCAATTAAAAAATCAATGTGGTGCGAGAAAGTTTTTATTCCGAAATCATGGCCCAGAGGAAACAGCTTGAGAACCACTGGCCTAGGCAACTGGTGCTTCTGTAGCCACACTGCCAGACTCTGGGAGTCTCTGAAGGCCATGCCTAGACAGATGGGGAGAGGGGTGTGTCGATGTGGAAACCTCTGGATTTTGCATGTGGCTGCAATGTAGCCTCCCATGCATAGGGAAGGGTCCAATCCATTCTTCCTCCCCTGGAAGGCTGCCCACAATGGAATGTGGCCTCTGGGGCTGGAAGATGTCCCCCTACCTCCTTTGTAGGCTGTGGCCTCTGAGCACGTGCAGGCACTGAAGAGAGGGAGGCCCCTAGGAGGCTTGTGCACAATGGAGATAGAGCATTTGGATGGTTTGTTTGGACCATGCTGAACCTGGGTCGGCAGGGCTGCCACCTGGCCAGCTGCAGCCCTCTGCCTGGAAGCACTCCTCGCCTCTCTGGCTGACCCTGTTCGCACCAGTGGCATGGTGGTGCTCAGCACTGAGCATGCTTCCCTGGGTTTCGTCCTGGCCCAGTCCTGGCTCCATTGCAACGCAAGCTCCTCGGGTCTGCTTCCCCGCTCCCACCCCAGCCACTCCGCTACCCCACATTTGCTGCTTTCAATGAAGCCGCTCTAGATGTGAGCAAGCGCCACTTGCCCAGAGCTGCCTCTGCAGCCGGCAGGCCACTTTCTCATGCTCCAGTAATTCAGAAGCGGCTTGGCGGAGCCCTTTTGAGCCCTCCCCAAAGAATCATCTGCCGGATTCAAGGAAATTAATGTCTTCCTCCCATCGTCTCCTGT